TATGTTTAAAAATACACATTTTATAATAGCGACTTTCAAAATACTTTTCAATATAACTGAAGTACATTTTGGAGTGACATGGTTTGTGTTTTGGGTAAAATCACAGCATGGTTTGTGTTGTAAGGGACCTTGGAGATCGTTTAATTTCAAGCCCCTGCTGATGGGCTGGGCCACCTTCCACCAAGCCCCACCTGCCCTGGCCTTGGACACTTCCAGGGATCCAGGGGTAGCCACAGCTTTGCTGGGTATCCTGTGCCAGGGCCTCCCCACCCTCTCAGGAAAGAATTTCTTCCTGATATCCCACCTAACCCTGCCCTCTGTCAGCTTAAACTGAAGTAACAATTTTTAATGGCAATCTGCTGCGTTTTTGATGATTTCCAGTCCCATTGCCATGAACACCTGCTGCTCTTACAGCCCCTTCTCTGCAGCTCTCTCTGTTGCTTCCCCATCCTTCCATCCTTAGGATTTGTTACAATTCCTTACCATGAAAATCACTGCAAATGTACTTCCAGGCTCGCCATTGCTTCCAGAACCACTAAAGCCTCAGGCTGCTGGACCTGCTCAGCCCAGCACTCCTGTGCTAAGGATGCAGGAGCCCCTGATCCCTGTGGCACCGCATCCCTCTCAGGCAAGTGCCCCGCAAAGTCTGGAGCCGCCCCAGCCGCCACCTCGTAGCCGCTCATCTCACAGTTTGCCTTCTGAACCTGCTCCCTCCCAGCAGCAAGTAAGTAAAAAATACCCCTGTAGGTACCTTCTTTCACTATGTAAATTAACACAGCTTGTACTGGATGCTGCAGGCTTTTGAGGAGCCCTTAGAGTGAGCACAGAAACAACAATAAGGGTCTGAAGATTGGATTTAGTGATCATGGAGCTCTAGGAGAGTAATAATTGCTTGTGTATTGTTCCTGAATAACTAACATCTTAAATACTAAACATTTGGGATTTCTTATGATGGCCTTGCAGTTTATGGGCTTCAGTCTTAAAATTATGTTGCCATTTGGCAACTTTGTATGGAAAAATGCTTGATCTAAGAAATCTGATTTGATAATGATATGTGCATGACAAACTGTACAGTAAGTAGCTAGCACAGGTTTTAAATAGCTATTGCATGATGTGGTGCTTTATGTTGGTGATCATTCATTGAAGGGAGATTATATTGATAAATAAATTAAATTAATGTATTAATAAATACTTAAGAGAAATAGAATTCTCCCTGTTCCCCAGTGTCGGTTAAAATACAGAAACCTGTCCACATAATGTGGGAGTTTCATACAGTAATGCTAACATTCTTTTCTGGGATCATTTAGACTGTTATGACAAAAAAACAGCATCAACTTTTTGTAGGAAAAGCCATAGTTTCTTACTAGTGCTTAAAAATGCAGAAGCAGGTTTTCAGTGCTGCTCAGGTTTTTTTCTTATGCCTATATCTGAAGCCCTTTTTTGCTACAATAGTTAAAGCCTATTTTGTACCATAGTGAAGCAGCCAAATTCAGTCCTCAGTTAGCTGATTTTTGAATTCAAACTGAAAATATCTTTACATGCTTTTCCTTTCTTTCTCCAGCCTCTTTCTTTGCCTGTGAACTGCCTTTTATTTTGGAAACTTAGACCAAAAAGTAGAGTTTTCTGAGGAAAGATCTTTAAAGAAGTGCAAGGTCTTTTGAGAGGTAGTGAATTCCAAGCCCATCCTTCTATCTTCTATCCTAGTCTTGATTATGATATTCAAAAAGTGAAATCTGTTTGTATAAAAATAATCACTTGTACAGTGTGAATATTCAGGACTCTATACAATCCATACACTGAAAAAGAGAATTAGTTAAATAGATCTTCTTTGTTGTGAAGCAGGGAGATGGTACAGTTCCACAGAAGGAAAGGCATTATGGTTTTTTTCAGCCTCAAAACTGTTACTTTAGATGAGGGATTATACTGACATAATTCCCAGAATGAGAGCTGTGGGGCTTTTCATGTTAATAGATGACTAGAATTAGAACATCCATGCTCAGATTCCTATAATGCATCTCCAAAAAGTAGCACAATCAGCTGCACAATGGGTGTCTGTATGGAAATACCATTAGAATTGACTTGAGGGTTTTTTTTATGACTCTTAATGGTCGAGCTTACAGTAGAAGACAACAGGAATTGAAAATTTAGTGTTTAGTAAGTACTTGTGGTTTGTATTCAGAGCTCCAAAAAACAGCTTTGTGAAAACTTCTGGAAATATTTTTAACATGAGGTTGCTTTGTTACTTGGTTTTTCTTCCTAATTTTCTTTCCTCTGATATCTGTTTCTCTTTCACAAGCAGGAGCAACCATCAGGGTAACAGGTATCTAACTATTTACCAATCTTGTATGTGGTCTCCATCTATTCGAGCAGAAAAGATGTATGAATGTTGTTTTCATACATCTGCAGTCCCATCCCTGTTAAAAACCACCTGTCTGCATTCATGGATTGACTGTCATACCATAGTTTGCTGTTTCCTTTCATAGTGCATTTAAAAATGAGACTGCTTTTATTAAGGCCAGAGCAACTATTTTGTCATCTTTTTATGAAACAATTGGACCCTCACCTACGTTGCTTAGTCACTGCTGAGCCTCCTGATCTCTGTCTATTTGGGGAAAGCAAGATCAGTGTTGGCAATAAATGTTCTCTTTAACGCAAATAAATCCTGATGCTACTGCACTGCCAAATTCTTTTCCAAAATAAACCTCATATATTGCATTGCTCAAGGAAAAGAGAACTTACTGTGACCCAAAGTAAAACAAACTGTTACAATTTTAAAAACACTTGGTTCCAGAATTACTCAAAGCAAGTTTTTACTTAGAATAAGGAGCAATTTGCATTCGTAGTTTCTTTGGGATCTTGTACTTTAAAACGACCACAGGACTTAACCAGCTGGTGCCAGGCTGCATCTGATTTCTATTGCTCCTACAGTCCAATTTTCCACATTTCCCCTAAGTTGCTCAGTACCTTTGTTTTAATATTATTCTTCAAAAAAACTTCAACTATAGATTGCCAATTCAGCTGTTTTGGTATATTAAATTTTTCTGTTAAAATCTTTTTGTGACATTTGAACTCTTAGAAGTTGTTTTAGCTTAAGCTTAACTCATTGGATAAGGGGAGGCTCCAAACTCTGTTCTGTCAGTGTGCATACTGAACAAAGTAGATACTCCACCTTTTTGGACAGCTTGTACAAGGTAAAAAATACCTTGCATTGTTTTTTGAAGCAATGTATAAAACCAAGAATATTTTGGTTGTAAAAGCTGAGAAGTTCTGTGGAGAACTGTCTTCTCCAAGGATAACTTATTTTAATTATGAAGCCAGCGATTGTCCCTTTTCATGACAAGAAGTACTGCAGATGCTTACGGATGCCTGACTACACAGAAATGTCTGACTGCATATACTAATAACACTAATGTTTCCTTTCATTGTGGTGCTGTAATGCTGCTTGTAACATCAGTATGATGAACTCCCAAACAATGTAACCTAGAGCTTTTCATTTCATAGTTGCACTGGGCTATCTGTTGCTTAGAATACAGTAGCATTTCCCAAACATCATCTTATCCAGAGTTCACTTAGTGTTTTTTCTGGGATTGGGACCTGCAGGAAGCAGGTTCCAGCTGCATTAACCTCTGAGAAGGGGGGAGTGGTGTTTAACAACTTACAGGCTTTTCTGTAGACAGGGGGTTCAGGCTGTTGTTTCAGTTTTGTTTTAACCAGAATGGGATTGAAGTTTCAGCTGAGGAGTGAGAAGGGGGGCAGTAGGAATAACCTGGAACCAGCTCCATGATTCCTGAGCATGTTGCTTCCTTTGCAGCTGAATCCCAACGGGACATACGGCACTAACCCTGAACCCCAGCTCAGCAGTGACCCTTTTGAAGACCTGTCATTTCAGCTGCTCGTGTCCAAGATGCAGACGTCTGTCCGAACATCACCTGCTCCAACCTTAAACCAGAAGGAGTTGATACAGTTGCCTTCAGCAAGGCAAAGAAATGCGGATAATTTGAATACTGTAAATTGCATGTCAGCAATGCCTCCTATTCCAACCTTTCACTCATCCCAGGAACATCAGCGCAGCTCTCCAAATCCATTTATTACTGGGCTGAACTGCTCAAATCCATTCACTGAAAGAACTCCTAATGCTGGGAACCCATTTAGGACGGAAACACGGGAGTCCAGGATAACCTCACTGGTAGGACCTGCTGCTTCCCACCCATTCCCTCCTCTGCCCCCGCCCAGCTGTAACACAAGCAAGCCTCTATTTCCTGTGGATGCAGCTGAAAATATGTTTTGCCTGCGAAGTAAATCTCTCAAGGTAGAAAACGTACAGCCCAAAGGGTGGGTGACGTTTGACGAGGACGAGAACTTTAACACAAAGCTGAAGCCATCTGCGAGTGTTCCGGATTTTAAGCGACTCACCTCTGGAAAATCAGGTGGATGCCCAGGTTTGCTGGGAGCTGAACAAAAGACTTTCCTTGGTTCAGACTTTAACTTTGATGGTGACTGGAATAAAAGTTCTACTGATTGCTTCTGTACAATGCCAGCAAGAAAGCCACCTGCACCCCCTGTGCCATCCAGAGCAACCAGCAACAGGTCCCCTGCAGATCCCTCCCCGGCACCCAAGGTGTCACCAACTCATGATTTTACAGAAAGATAGATGGTCAGAGATACAGAAGGTTGTATCTGTTCCTACATTTATCCAGTAGAATAATTGGGCATTTGAGATTATTCTGTGTGCAATAATTAATTGTTAAATGCACTGAAACTTAACTCTGCTCATAAACGGCCACTTCAGCTTGTGTATAAATTTTGAATGTGTATATATGGTAGAGCACAAAAAATGGTCTGAAGTTTATTAAAATCTCGATGTAATAGTATTTGAATAGACAAAAAGAGAAGGGTGAGCTACTGTCTCACTAAAACTTATCAATCCTGGACACAGATTTTGCTTAGGGAGCTCTTTCATTTCTGTTCTCCTTTGTGGAATGTCACAAGAAGAGGCTCCCTGCTGGTAGCCTCCCCCCTCCCTTTTGACTGTTTTGTTAGTTGATATTTATAAGTATTTACCAAAGAGCTGCCAAAGTTTATGGAGATTTGAATGTTGACAAGTATTGTTTAGAAGCTGTTTAATTTATAACAGAGGCTATGGGTATTTGTAAGGCTTATATTTGAAATTGAGGCACAACAAAAATGGTTTACTTTCAAAATAGAAACAAAACTTTGCATAGTAATATATTCAATTAATCTCCTGTGTCAGTACATTTCAGTTGTTAAATCCTATTGTGACATACACTCACTAGCACTAATTCAGAATAATTGTTTCATATCATCCATTTATTCATTACTATTTTAATTATACTTATATTTTTCCACAAATGGGAAACAGCTGATACAGCAAGCTTTTCCTCAACCTCTGGAAAAAAGCCCCCTTGTCTTTTGAGCTACAAAGCAGTATTTGCCAGTTGCAGACCATGTAGTCTGCCAGCCAGGGGGTGAAACAACACGCTTGGATTATATTTAGAGTAGCAAAATATCCCAGGGCAGCACGTTTTTGAAATCCTCAAATGCCCTCACAACATGATCCATGAAGTAATCCGCTATTCCTTCGGACAGCCCCTGGTTAGCCACGAGCTGCAGCCGCCTAGAGGAGTGATAGTGAGTTTTCTTTTGCGCTTTTTTCTGTTCAGGTCATTCCAGTTGTACATTTGGAACAGCAGTGGTACTACTTGTGCTTCGGTGTGTGAGTTACCTTGTTTTACGCTGTTGCTGCAAACATCCGTGTGGTTGGTGTTTTGGTATATTCTTACATTAGCAAACCAAATCCAGGGGGGAACTTTTGCTAGTGGGAGTCACGTGATAAATATGTTGTCAAATACTTAATTGAATTGCAGTGATTAAAAACTCTGTCTGAACTGTACCTGGCGTGCGGCTCCTCTGCGCTTCACAGGACTGCGGGGACCACAGGGAATGCTCCAAAATTTCAGGGTCTTCATATATATTTATATATACATGAGCTGTAGTAAGGCGCTGGCATGTGTTGATGGGAGCAATGAGCAACAGCAGACGCTCTGAAAACTCAGAGGATGGAGGTGAGACCCACTCCCCACGTGTCCCTGGACTCTCCGTGTTCCCACTCACCTGTCCATGGCTGTATCCACCAGGACACCCAGGTATGCCTGAAATATTCCCGCTCTTATGGTCTGGGGGTCATTCTCTCTCTGTGCCCTCGTGCTAATCCTCCTAAATCATCAGGGTAAATAAAACCCTCTACAACAGTCTTTTTGGTGTCAGCAGGTCAGGCATTCCTTTATTCTTGGCCAGGGGTTGTGTGGCTGACAAAACTCCAGCCTCCACACAGACACTGATGCAAAACTTTTCCACTTATTTATACATTTTTAGTAAACAAAGACAATGTTCATAAGTTGTAAATTACATAATTATCTTTAATTAGTATTCTGTCATTTATTGGTGATTGATTTCTGACTTCTTATGCTAATTAGGCCATATTTTTAGTCCTTTTATATCTTTCCTTTTAGTAGGGAATTTTCAGTGCCTATACTGAGTTTTTATCTGGTATTTTCTGCATAGTGTCCTTGTGATCCTTAAATTCTGCATTCTAGATGTCCAACCTCCCTAATCCCTCTTTCTCTCCCGGGCTTTGTTCATGGGACATATCAGAGTTAGTGTATCAAAACTGAATGTGTCAGGCCTTTTCCCAAGCTGTCCCCACAGAAGTAGCTTGTAACAACTTTGCTAAATACCGCCTGAGAGTTAATTTTAGAATAGTCCAGTAATTATAATTTTTACGCATTTAGGCGATGATTAACTAGAACAATTAATTTAAGAGGTAGTTACACTCCTTACCTGCGATTAGTAGGACGATCTGTCGTTCCCCACAGCGGGCAGGTCGCGCGGGCCCTTTAAGCGGCTCCCGTGCCCTCACGGGCGGCCGGAAGGAGAAGCGCTGGCGGCGGCGCCGTTGCGGCGGGACCGGGGCCTCCCGGCGGATCCCGAAGGATCCCGAAGGATCCCGGTGCTACCGGCAGGGGCGGCAGCAGCCCCCCCGCGCTCTCAGAGCCTCCCGAAGCGGCGGTCGCGGCCGGTGTCCCCGCGCTCGCTGCCTGCCGCCGGTATCCAGGGACTCGGCTCCGTTGCTGAGGGCCCGGCCATGGTGCGGCTGCACGTCAAGCGCGGCGGCGAGAGCCAGTTTCTGCTGGAGGCGCCGGGCAGCGCCCGCCTGGCCGAGCTGGCGCCGCTCGTCGCCCGCATCCACAACGGGCGGCTGAAGGTGCAGCGCCTGTGCTCAGGTACCGCTTGGGGCCGCGGCGGCGGGAGCGGCTCCCGGCAGCCGCCCTGGCAGCGGGGCCGTGCGGGAGTTCCCGCCTTCGGTGTTCGGTGAGGGCACTGCAGCGCGCTGAAAACTCTCCCGCTGCGTGTGCCGGTAGCGGCTGCTTAAATCGGGGAATCGCGGAATGGCCGGGACGCCTTCCGCTGGCCCAGGGTGCCCCAAGCCCCCTCCGACCTGGTCTTGGACACTTCCAGGGTTCTGGGACCAGCCACAGCTTCTCTGGGCAATCTGTGCCGGGGCCTCACCACCCTCACAGGGAAGCATTTCTCCTCAGTATCCCGTCTAATCCTGCCCCGTGGTAGTTTGAAGACATTCCCCTTGCCCTGTTACTAGGCCCATGTCCAGTCCTCCTTCAGGGCAGTGAGAAGTGCTCCTTCAGTGCCCTCACGGGTGTGTGGTGTTATACTGGCCACCACCAGCATCTCCTGCCGTGCAATGGTGTCAGTGACATGTCTGAATAAGTGCTGAGTCCGCTTCTGAGGCAGTTTTAAAAACCATTTCCCACCCCAGCGTGGGGCTGTCAGAGCAGAGATTCCTGTCAGGTAAGCCTGACCTGAGGGTGCAGCCCACCCACACCAGCTGTGTGACAGCCACGGTGTTTGTGGGGTGTCTGAGGCTATACTGATGCTGATCTGAAATTTAAAAAAATCTGACCAGGAAAATATAAAAAAAAAATGTGGCCACTAATTACCATGAGGGTTTGCATCGCTGCACGCGTCATTTGTTATGTTGTTTTATGGGTATGTAAAATGTACAAATTTTAACATAATTACACCATCTGTATCTATATGTGTGTGTTTATATCCCTTATTCTTTATTCCCTGTATTTACCTGTTTAGAAACAAAAAGCTAGGGGCAAGTTTTGCCTGCATGTACATAATGTGAAAGGCTTTTGTAAATGGACTGACTATAGTAACAGAGACTTCTAATCTTGTTCTCTAAACACTAAAGAGATGGAGGAGCTGGCAGAGCATGGTATTTCCTTACCTTACAATATGCAAGGACTGACAGATGAGCAGATCGAAGAGCTGAAGTTAAAGGATGAGTGGGCAGAGAAGTGTGTCCCAAGTGGCGGAAGCGTCTTCAGGAAGGATGAAATGGGGCGAAGAAATGGATTTGGTAAGTCAAATGTCAGTGCTTGTTTCTTTCCCTTCAGACACAGACAATACAACAGGGAGTAACAAATCCCTAATTCTGGAATGGGGTAGCCAAACTACAAGTTCCACACACAGGAATTCTGTCTTGGTTTAGAATCTGGGGTAATGCTGATTAACAAGCCTAAAGAGCAGTATGTCTCTTCAGCACATAAACAATCACCAGGAGCAAGTTTGACTGTTCCAGTTTGGTTTGCTCTCCCCATCTGTAAATGTACTGTGGAGAACTGGGTTTCCCCGGGGACTCCAAGATACATTAACAGGTTGTTTTTCTAATATTTCTCCTTTTTTTCTTGTTGACTGGAGTTCAGATTCACAGAGCATGTTTTTGTGAGTGGGAGGATAGCCTTGTGATATTGACAAAGTTAGATAATTGATCAGTGTGTATATGTAAGCCAAGTCAAGTGCCATCAAATGATGCACCCAAGTGGGACATGAGCTGGGAATGAGTATGCTTTAGCTGGATTTTTGTTTTTGAGGACAGGCTTTTTATAGCAATTGAAATGGATAACTCTGATATGAAATGTACAGTGTGTTTGTGGAAGCGTCTTCATTGTTAGATTGAGATTTTAATTAGAAAAGACAAGTCAGAAAGGTGCAAGCTGTTATGCCCAGTTAAAGCATGTCTGCCAGTACAGCCCACAATAGTCCAGCAGGGAAGGAGCCTTGGTTTGTCGTGGAGGATATGGGATTATGGTTGTTGCTTTCTACTGAGGGCCTTTGTCCCAGATGAAGTTCCAGATCATAGAATCACAGAATAGTTTGGGTTGGAAAGGACCTTATAGCTCATCCACTTCCATCCCCTGCCGTGGGCAAGGACACCTTCCACTAGACCACACTGTGCCAAGCCCTGTCCAGCCTGGCCTGGAACATTCCCAGGAATGGAGCAAATACCAGTCACATGTTTTTGGGAAAAGTAAGTTTGTGTGTCCCATGAAAAATACTGCTTATTTCTTAAGTTAGTAAGAAACACAGGAATGAACTATATAACTTCTGCTTTATGATATAATGCTGTTTCATTTGCTCACAGTGGAGTCTGGACAGAGTATGTGCTTGGTTTCTTTACAGTAAGCATAGACTATGAGATGTGTCTCTTACTTTTAGCTCCAAATGAAAAAATGCAGCAAGTTATAAAGAAAACAATAGAAGAAGCCAAGGCATTAATCTCTAAGGTAAGTTTCTTCAAGTGATGTGTGGGTCTTTCCTAATCAGTTCTGTGGAGTGGGACATCTTAAATAACATCAGACTTCTTTCAGTGCAAGGGCTGACAGTTGTTCAGAAATGCTATCAAGTGATGTGAATAGTCTAATAAAACCTGACATTTAGGTTAATGTTTTTCGTTAAGGTTTTTGGCAAGTGGTTCAACAGGTTAAGGAATCAGATACTAAACTCCAAGGGAATGCTGGCAGCTGAGCCCATGTGGAACGATTAAATCACATTCAGTTTTATCCTTGCAATTTGCTGTTGGTGTGTTCTTTGGGTGAATGCTTGTCGTGCTTTCTGGTCAAAAATTAACTGCATTCTGTGCTGTTCTTGGAGTTAATTAAGTCTTTTGACTTTTATGTGTAATTAATTGAAGAATGTGTTCTAATCTCTTAGGTTATCACAGAATCAGATTATTTGGTTTGGAAAGGACCTGAAAGCTCATCCAGTCCCACCCCACTGCCATGGGCAGGGATACCTACCACTAGACCAGGCTCAGAGCTCAATCCAGCCTGGTCTTGAACACTTCCAGGGATGGGCCAGGGTTAGGCCTTGGTTTGACAAGCACTTGCACTCATGCTCAGTCCTGCTGAGTGTCTGTGTGTGTGTTCAAAGACAAGCACAAAGTTTGCCCTGATGGGACGGTGCTGTCAGGTATTCAGATTTACATTGCAAAATCTGTAGGTGCTCTGTGTTGTGTTTCAGCTTTTGTGTGACTTTGAAACACAAATTTAGTAATATTTATGGGTGGCATTAAGAATAGTTTGGAAAGTGATTTGTTTGGTTTGCCAGTTTATCATGACAAAAAAGAAGAAACCATGCCTGTGTATTTGAGGTGGTACTGGCCAGTCAACCAGATCAAGAACGTCCACAAGGAGGCAACATTCCCTTACCTTAGTACCTAAGAAGCTGTTAAATCTGCAGGGAATGCCTTTATTTTTTTTCTTCCAGATGTGTCATGTTTCTCCTTTATCCTTGCAATGGGGTTTGGAATGATCTCAAGTACTTGGTCTTGCAGTTCTCTGCATGAGCTGTGCAGTTTGCCAAGCTTTACACTTCTGCTCACATGTGCTCTATTTTTTTCTCAAGTTTTAAGCCCCTTCTCCATCCCCCACTTGAATTTTACTGGCTTGAATTACGTTCATGAATCACAAGTGCTTGGAGCCAAAGCACCCCTGTCTGGTATTTGTGGTCCGTGTGTCCTGGTGTGAGTCCTGTGTTCCATGGGCAGTTGTCTCCCACACAGTTTAGTGAAGATCTCCCTTTTTTGTTTTCTCCCCCACCCCACATAAGCAGGCTAAACAGAGGGGCCAAAGGTGACATGTACTCCCAAGTCAGTATTCTGGTGAGGAAATTTGCACTCGTGATGTCTTTGTGCAGCCTGTTAGCTCTGCTCTGATATCCCATCACTTAACCTTTGAATTGGCCACTCCTTCTGCAGGTTTGCTTGTATTGCCAATGATCCCTGTCTGTATTTCAGAAACAAGTTCAGGCCAATGTGTGTGTTAATATGGAGACGGTGAAAGATGCATTGGAGCAGCTCCGTGGGGCTGTCATCATTGTGTATCCAATGGGATTGCCTCCACATGATCCAATTAGGATGGAGTTTGAAGATAAAGAAGACTTGTCGGGAACTCATGTATGCAGTAATGTATTCCCATTGTATGTAGTCCTGGGTTAAACATGGCCTATACTGTTATTCACCTTATCAGTGAAAGTTGTTTTCACCTCCAACATGGAGAATTTGTTGCCCAAAGTGTTTATATTAGATCAAGATTGAATGGAATGTAAATAAAAATGCCATAGATGAATATGAGGAGAAAGATGTAGAAGTAGAGTGTAAAATTACACTTCATGTTAGGAATACCTGAAAGACTTTTTTTTTTTTTTCCCCTGAAAAAAAATCAGGTTTTGGAAAAAAAAAAAGTCAAGAAACAGCACCCTCCAACTCTTCACCTTGTTTATATTGTCACAGGCTGGAACTGAAGTTATAAAAGAATCAGAAGCACAGTTGTGGTGGGCAGGAAAACAGTTAGAAGAAACAAAGTTGCTCTCTGACTATGTAGGCAAAAATGAGAAAACGACCATCATTGTCAAGATCCAAAAAGTGAGTATTGCTGGGAGATTGCTCTACAAGTTCCTCACCCTTGGTTGTCTGTTCTCTGTGGAAGAGAACTATCCATAGGAGTATAAAATGGATTAGATTAGTTCCAACTTGAGCATCTTAAAACTGTACATCTATTTTAAGGTTTGAATGGATTATATCTGAGTTTTTCTTCAGTAATTCTTTAGCCTGCCAGTTACATACTGTAGTTGCTGTTTCTTACTCCATGGTGTTTTTGTGAAGTACAACAAAGAGGTATTTAAAGAGGAAATACAAACTGGGAAGTTTTGTGGCAAATCTTGCCACCCTGCAGTGGGTTCTGCAGTGCATCCCTAAGAGGTAAGTCAGGTGATTTATGTGATTTAGGAGATTTATTTAGAAAACCAGATTTGCTTTCTTTCCTCTCAGGGTCACTGGGAAATGGTGTGGCATCTCAATAGCCACTGAAGTGTAGGCTCCCAGGAATGCTGTCTTTAATTAGTTGAAGGACTTGCTCAGAGAGCAAGGGCAGTACAGGGGTTCCTCCCTGCCCAAACCACCTCAGAGAACATCCACCATCTCCATGCAAGATGGCTGTGTTTGTAGTTGCTGACAGCACGTGTTTTCTGCTTTGTCCATCATTTCTTCCAGGGGCACAGTGGCCTGGATAAGAAATTTCCTTTTATTTGTAGTGGTTTGTAACTCCCTTACTTCCCTGCTTTACTGAATCCTATGACATCCTGTCTGTATTAGTAGAGGAGCTAAAGATATGGGCCCATCGTGAGATACCTAGAGTGACCTTAAAACAGATTTATTATGTCTCTTAAAGTGGAAATTTATGTAAAATACACTTAATCCTGTTTGCATCTTCTATTGATGTCCACAGAATTGACAGCATGATTCAGATACAGAGATGAAAAAATAACCCTCACTTCCCTGTGAGGGTGTTGAGGCCCGGCACAGGGTGCCCAGAGAAGCTGTGGCTGCCTCATTCCTGGGAGTGTCCAAGGACAGGTTGGATGTGGCTTGGAGCAGCCTGGTCTAGTGGAAAGTGTCCCTGCCCATGGCAGGGAGATGGAATTAAATGATCTTCAAGGTCCCTTCCAACCCAAACCATTTTCTGATTCTATGAATGCAGCCACAGTTTCTCAGCATTTATTTTCCTGTCCTGAGGGACCTTATTAAATTCGAGCAATCCAGTTGTCTGAAGAAAGCTTTTTGATGCCTTTGTGTAGCAGCTTCTCCTTTGCATCACAAATGCCATCAGCAACATTTACAATTTCCCTTCCAGAAAGGACAAGGAGCTCCGGGGCGGGAGCCTGTGATCAGCCATGAAGAGCAAAAAGAGATGATGCTGTACTACTACAGGAAGCAGGAGGAGCTGAAGGTAAGTGTTCCTTTGGTGCCCCAGAGCTGGGCTGCTCCGACAGAGACAGAGCTCAGGCTGCGTCCCTCACTGCGTCCCTCCCCTCTCTGCCACAGAAACTGGAGGAGGAGGACGACGACTCGTTTCTAAATGCTGAGTGGGCAGACAACCATGCTCTGAAAAGGCAATTTCACGGTGTAAAAGACATCAAATGGGGTCCAAGATGAAGCTCTGCAAGCCCCTTCTTAAGCTGCTCGGTTGATGCTCTTGTTTGAAGCAAGGGGTTGTGTTGTGTGTGGTAGATACTTCTGACAGCAGCTGAAATTGTCACTTCTGTGGCCTTAGATGTTCAATAAACGTTTGTATTTCTCTGTAACTGTAGCAGCACTTTCCTCTGCAAAGAAATGGACAAATTCTCTTGACGTTTGGTATTTTATTAGAAACTTGTAATTTGGATATGGAAATGTCAATCTCTTTCATAGGTAAGAAATGTAGTAAATATGCACTGGAATGTTTGGTGTTGTTCAGAGTGGTCTTTATACTCTCTTCTCATTCTTGCATTGCTATTAGATGGTGTGCTCTGCAGAAGGTAATTTATTTTGTAGGAAATCAGTTTCCCCTGACTAATCCAGGGAGAATTAAGGTTTTTCCTGTGCTTCTTTACATTTCAACATAGCTGTTTCCAAACTGTCATTTTGAAATTAGTTATCCTCTTAATATTGTTTAAAGGAAGTGCTTTTTTATAAACATTCGTAACATCCTCGTGGAATGCTTCATTTTCATTCTTCGGGTTTAGTTTTTCTTTCTGGTACATAGAGGTTGACAGTAATTTGTATACAAAAATAAGCATCATCTGCAGGTAGGTTGGATAAACCCAAGTTTAATAGGACCAGATCTTCTAGGATGGAAGTAAAAAAAATAATCATAATTTTCTGTATTAGTATGGTTGAAGAGACACTGATCAAGGTAAAAGCCAAGTGTTTGCTGAACTCACAGCTTGAAGATTGGATGCAGAACAGGTAATGAATGTCATTCAATGAACTATTAATGGTGGTTTTACTTCAATCACTGATTATTTTTTTTTTACTTTCAGAGAAGTTTTGTGTCTGGTAGTTTTTCTTGAATCTCAACTTTACAGTAACATGACTTTTTACAAAAAGAAAAACCAGCATTTCTGAATTGAAAAACTTCAAATATTTTTAATTTACAATTTATTTGGAATTATTTCACATGGCAAAAGAGGTTTTTGAAAAAACACTTTGTTCTTCCACTTCCTAAGAGGAAAATCAGTGTCCTAGAGCTTATAATATTCTCATTTCCTCTCTGAAAGCAAGGGAAAAGCAGGCATAGGAGATATTTAACCTGGATTCTGTGCCCCTTTAACTGCTGTTCTCTGCTGTAATTGGTGCTGGTTTTTTCTTTAGCTGAGCAAACTTTCAATAGCATTGATCCTTTTTGGAGTTCTCACACCAGTGTTTGTGGATCTGCTGGATTCATTTATTGTGGGTGAAATTGAATTAACTCACTGGAAAATGATGGAAGAGTACTGGAACCCAGGAAAGCCTGTGGGTATTTAACTGTCCAAGGAGATAATGAGATAGAAACACCACACATAGGTTTGCAACTTTGCAAAAGCGTTTTGTCTTTTTTTGTAGACCACTTATTTTTGCAAGTTTGAGAGTAGCCGTGCCCTTCCACGGAAAAAATCCATTCTCTCTCAAAGGAGATATACAGCAGAACATTGCTAAAATTTTTGTTTTATGCCCATATCACCATCCTGATGAATGGAAATAATTTCCACACCTGGTTTCATTCCTTTTCTTTTTGCGGTTTTGCTTTCCCACATTGCTGCATTCTGTGCCTCACCCAGGATTTGGAAGGATTTATTTATTGCTTCCTGCAACCTCACCCAGCGTTCCTGGTGACAAACTTGAGGCTGATTTCAAGGCAGGAGTGGGGAGTTCAAACAGCCACACCAGCACTGCATGTTGCCTTCCAGCAAGTTCAGTGTTGATGCTGGGTTATACAATTTCCAGATGTGTGTCATGCCCACAGCTGTGTGTGGGGCACGAACCAATTAGTCCAAACAGCTTGCTAGCTCTTCTTTGCAGTACTTTCTCCTTAGGCTGCTCTTCTGGGAAACTGCAGGGATATTCCTGCTGAAACTCCTTCCCAGAGCCAGCCCTGAGTGTCCTTCCCATAGCATTGCTGCTGCTGCCTCATGGCACCATCCCTGTGGATACCTCAGCACTCATCCTGGAGAGATTCCAGCTATGGCACTTCAGCTGCTCGTTTTTTAGGGCTTGGGACAGAGAAGTGCATACCTCATTAATTTTCTGTTTTGTCTACTGGATACTTTGGGTGTTGTTTCAGAAAGATCCAAATAATTCCATGTCTGTTTATCAGGTTTTTTTGTTTATCTTCATTCTGACTCTCAGACTGCTGTGAACAGTGAATGTTTGGAAATGAGGTGAACCACTAATTGACAGCTTTCCCCAGTTAGACTTGGAAAGTTTATGCAAAAAGAAAAAAATAGCAACTCAAATGCAGAACTATAAATAGCTCAGTCAAAGGAACAGATCCTGAGTGAAGCTTGACCTCCCAGCCTGGAGCAAAAGCTGAAAAGCTGCTTCCCTGCCCTGCTGAGTTGCTCCTGGTGCTGGGGCTTGGACAGGGTCTGTCACTATGTTTGAGGATCCATTTAAACAGGCATGCGTTATTAAGCACTGCACTTTTTTTTTTTCCTCAAAAAACAGTTCCCAGTGTCTGTGAAATGCTCCATCTTAGGAAGCAGCTGCTTCTCTGGCACCTGGAGGAATTTCTTAGTGTCTGCCTGATGGTGAGTGGTGGCAGGCAGGGAGGAAGGTCAGGAGGAGATCAGGTCATCAGTTAAATCACTATTTCAATGTAAAATGTCTTTTTCCTCCGAGGTTGTAAAAGCAAGGAGAGGACTGGGAGTTGGGAAGAATGAAATGTTTTGTCCCAAGGAAGGGACTAAGTTCTAAGCTGCAAACTGGTTTTTGCTGATCCGCTGCCACTGCAGTTGTTTTGTCACCAGGAGTGAAGACCCTGGTTTCAGCTGGGAATGCTGAGGGGTATCAGATGGACGGAGGTGTGGATGAAGTGACCAAAGTGGGGAAAGGACCTGTGTGCCCAGTGGCAGGAGCAAAGGCAGTGGACACAAGGTGAAACACAAGAGGGTCCCTCTGAACATCAAGGAACACTTTGTCACTGTGAGGGTGGCCAAGCACTGGCACAGGTTGCCCAGAAACGTTGTGGAGTCCCATCTTTGGCTGGACCAGGTGTTCTCCAGGTGGCCACCCCTAGGCCATGCTAACTTTACCTTGTTTTGAGTAAAGTGAAGTCTGAAGGAAGGGTAACTCCCAACTTTTGTTAGGATGTCTGCTTATGGGCTGAAACCCCAATTAAAAATGAGGGAAGGCTTCCCAATAAAAAATGAGGGACGAAAATGGACAAATTTTAGTGACTTACAAACATTGACTGCCAGCCAGATAACTTCCAGAAAAGATCAGCTGGAGATCAGCTGGGCTTTGGGCCCCAGGCTCTCCAGAAGGGAGTTTCACCAGGACTCAGTTTTGGGGAGCCCATGAGAGCAGGGGCCCCTACCCTCAGCCCTGCAGGCCAGCATCCAGCCTGCTCCATAAAAACAAGAGGATCAAATTTTTTTCACTAGTATGGTTTGTCAGCAGGAGGAATTGTTAGGATGTAGATCAGTCCCTTTGTATCTGCCTGGGAAATGGGTGGGCACCTGCCCCGTGAGTCGGGAGGAAGGGGCCAGGTCTGGCCCAGAGCCCTCCCCAAAGGTAAAAATTTGCCTTCTTCCACTCTCAGGACCAAGGCATGGGCTTCTCCAGACCTAAACCAAAATCATGCATAGCACAGGCTATGACAGCTTCCTACTGAAAAGGGGAGAGCAGCAGAGCAGTGGGATTGCAGCCAGGCTTAGGGCTGTGCCTGGCCTCTCCTGCAGTTTCCCAGTGCTCTGGATGACCTCAACCCTCTGTCCATCTCCTTAGCCTCTCTTCCTTCCGCTGATAGGATGCTAGTTGCTGGTGAGATTTTTCCAGTTGAGCACAGGATTGTGCCTTAGTCATCTGAGAAAGCTCCCTTCCTCCCTTTAAAGTTTTTCCAGGATTAATTTGACTTTGTATCGGCAGGAAATGACAAGCCATGTCACTGTTTGCTTTCCAAGTGTTTCATACTATGTTCTACCTGGGCACACAGCATCTAAGTGGGGAAGCACAGTGAACCCATGAAGTATTACCAGTAGGAAGTGACATTTTTCCTCCTTTTGTTCAGTAAATTCCCTGTGGGCTAGAGCAAAAATATTGGAGACATTTTTAAGACAGGAAGGCTGTTCTGGTTTCAGCTTAGATACATTACTGATTTAATTTTCTCTCCAACTGAAACCAAATCTGACTAACAATTTTCAAGTGAAGATTGGGAACTGATAAAAAATCCTGAGAATATGACCTGCATTCAAGTGCTGGCTCTAACCCTGCTTTGGGATCAGAAAAATGAACCCAGTGTTTCCCTTAAGTAAAGCATTCTTGGTGTCTGGTAACTTCCAAGAGTCTTTTATGAAAGCAGCAGCCATTTTGAAACTTGTCCTTCACAGATTGGCCAGCACAGGTAGCAGCAGGAGTGCATCTTGGGCAGATCTGTTCTGATGGTTGAATACATCTCATTAAATATTTTCCACCTTTTTTAATATTCCTAAACATGCATTTGGCAGTTACAGTGAAACTGTAAATTACAGTGAAAAGTAATCCGTACCACGAGTTAAAACTGTAGAGTGTTTTTCGCAGAAGGATTTATAGACAGTCAAGGGTATGAAGCCCTCTTTTTATTGTATATATTTCTTTTTATTTTACAAATAATTATATTCACTGATACAAATGTTCCTTCACAGAAGGTACATTTTTTTTTTTAAAAAGGGGTAGAGTGTCATCCAAAATAAGCCATTTATTGTTCATTAATATAAAATGTATTCATATTTCTAGGGGGTGTCATATCCAAACCACTGTTCATCCAGATTTCCTGTATGATCTGCTCCCTGCGCTCAATCCTTTCAGCCAGTTCTGCTGCCTCTGCTGAGTTATAACCTGAGTAAGGAGGTCTGTAAAGTCTGTCTGTCTCATCCTGGGTGTTTGAAAGGGAGGAATCCTCCCCCTCCTCTTCCTCTTCCTCCTGTTCACTGCTCCTGTAGGCCCTGGCACTCTGTGGCACCAGCTGATCCTTCTTCCTGTGCAGTTTCTGGATGTCACTAGGACACAACACGCAGATCACTAAGACACACAGTGTGAGGATTAACCCCACACAAACGCTGGACACAAACAGGAGAGCGACTCTTTCAGGGTGATCTGCAGGCAAGAAAGCCAGGGCTTAATCACTGTACAAACTGCCAAGGCTGGTTACAAACCCCAGCAACCATTCCCGAGTGTTCCATAGCCACAGGGCACCCAAACCTCCCGACACTCACAGCCCAACCCCGCCAGCTCTGCCTCTCCGAACTGCTGGGCAAGAATCCATTCTGGATATAACATTGTAAAATAACAACATGACCCCAGCCCTTTATGAGCAGCTCAGTGCTGTTGTCAGCCAGCTGCCAGAACTCTGCACACCTTGTCTGGTGTTTCCAGCCATCCTGCCAGAATGGGCCTTGCCCTCACCAACAGGGGGCATGAGAAGAGTGAGTCTGGGCTCTGCAGGGCCTCGGCAGCATCTCCAGGCCAGGCTGAGTAGGGAGCACTTTTCTTCCTTTGCACCTTAGTATTGCTAAGTCACAGAAGCTGCTTCATCTCACAGCAGGGATGGCTGGGTTTGGGATGGCTTTTTGCTTTTTTTTTATTACTCCTTGATGATCCATGTATGTATGCAACCCAACAATTCCAAAGATGGATGTCAGGAGTGCTCTCACAGGTCAGGGCCAGGCTTTCAAAACTACTGAACAACCAACAGTCCCCATCCAAAATTTAAAAATATCTTGGCTGCAGTTGCTAAGAGAGTTTGAATCCTTCAAGGCAAGGAATATTCCCTAAATATCAATTATGCTGGGATTGCCTCATCTACAATATTGTGATTATATTATAATATCATTACCATAAACATGGGATTACTAGTTGTAACCTTTGGAGTTGATCCTCCTTTTTCCCACAATGCCACAATCTCAGCCTCATTTTCCTACCTCTAATGTATGCGAATGTAGCCAAATAGTTAGAGCTAACAATAGTTCCGTCTTTCTTTGGAAGTCTCGATTCCCTTGGATCAAGGTCGACACCTGTGACATGAGGAGGTAAAGCACATTCAATGAAGCTACTAAATTGATATTCACCCAGTAACTTTCCAGCTAACAAGTCCACCCAAAACACAGGCAGGCTCTTGCTGTGCTGAAGGAGCTGCAGAACACTAGACCAAACAGTGGTTGGTAAGTTAAAGTATAATTAACAAATTATTGAAAATATCAAACATCTAGAAAATGGCAAATTGATTTAAAAGAGTCTACTGCCAAGTGAAAGTCCTTCTGCCTATTCCCATTGGGGTTTCTGAAATAATTTTACTTTATGAAGCTTCACAGTTCTCCAATGGCTTTCCCAGCCCAAACATTTCAGGCACTTCTGTTACTGAGGACATGCATCAGGCTCATCCTTAACTTTGTGGCCTTCGAGAAGAGCTGGTGTTAGCATAACTTGTAAAAGATTCTTCACCCTGAAAGAGCTACAATTTCACTTTTATTCTTCCCAGCATGCGGCTCTGGGCAGGCTGGGCAGGTCACTCTTCCTACAGCTTTGCCAGGACTGCAGGACTGTGTTCACATCCCACTCCCGGCCTGTCCTCTGCTCTGGGAAGAGCAGCTCTTTCAGCAGGGTTTCCACTGCTTCATCCCAAACCCTGTGTCTGTGGTGGTACATACCATCGTTCTGTTTGATGGAAGACTTGTTATCAGGGACCAGGGGGTTGACTGCCGTGAGGATAAATTTAGGAACTGCAAAGAAAAAAGATAAATTGTGTTCTGTTAGTTTTAAGAACCCTCTCCCCAGTTAATTACGCATCTCACTGCTAGCCCTGGCTTTGTTAACTGGGTTTCTGACAGTTGTATTAGAGGTTAAACTTGATCCTGGAGGTCTTTTCCAATGTTATGATTGTGTGGTTCATGTGAAGTCAGGGCAGCTCTTGGTCTGTGACGGGATTCACACACCAGCCTGCTCCAGGAACATCAGTACATCTCCATACAGCCTGGCAACCTGCCCCATTTTCAGCCCCTCAAGGGTGTGCCAACCAGTGGATGGAGGCAAAATTGGCCTCTAAATTTGGCATAAAGTGGCTACAGCCAGATGCTAAGTTGCGTCTAAATATTGGGTTTGGATGAGGAGAATTCACTGTCATTCTAAGATAAATGTTGAAGTCTTGTGTGATGTCATTTGGGAAACTTCTGAGACGGACAGTTGCTGAGGAAGGTGAGGAGGATGGGAATAAATGAGCTCCATCTTTCAATTTCATTATTTTATTCCCTTGATAAGTGTTCACAGTCTTCTTCAAATAATTAAAAGAACTACAACCAGGTGCATTGTACAGGCATTGAGAGTTCACATATTCTGTAATGGATGAAAGGGCCCTTCAGCCCATCAGATCTTGGCACCTGTTCCTGTACTGTGTGAAGGCAGATTGATTGATTTTCAGACTGATGGGCGGGGGGGGGTGGTAAAAAGAGAAGAAATTTCAAGTATGGCACTCACCTCTATCCCACATAGAAACATTTGCCAAGAAATAGTTTTGAGGGAGTTAAATGGAACAGCAGAGACTGAGGTTTGCAGCTTAGCATAGTTTTTGCTTGGAAAACAACTAAAAATAGCACTTCTTTTTGAGCAGGACTTTTCTTTCTGTGTGGGCTCAAAGTCAGAGCTGTTTCCTTTCCTGATGAAGGAATCCTTCTGGGAATCTTAGCTCCTGTTTGCAGTGGAAAGCCAACAGATACAGGGGTAAATAATCTCATTTCTATTTCGTCTTGTACCTCGTGGTAGTTTGTAGCTGTTTTCCAGCAGCTTTCCTCGGTGTGTGGGGCAGACAGGGAGCAGGATAGTTTCCAGCCTGCAGTCTGCATGTGCAGGCCAGGCTGTTCTGAACAACATGCCTGTATGGTGAACAACACCCTGGGAGGATGCACCTTCTCCAGTGCAGAGCTCCTGTTGCGTGGCCTGGGGCTCCCTCACCTGTGCTGATGTTCTTCCTCCCAGAGGGGGAGCTCCCCAGGGCTTTGCTTCCTCTTTTCCCCTATGCCATTCAAATATTTATTGCAGGGGAATGTTTAATTCAAAATGGCATGGACAGAAAGGGCTCCTGGCTGCTTGCATTGCTTGTTTTCAGTATTGTCCCTTGCAGATGCAAGGACTTTGACTGGTATAGGCTACATCAGGTCTCTGAACAGAACAGCTGGTACCAGAATAGGAATTTTTATTAAGATAATCACATCTGTATTACAACTTGTGCCAGCACTAGTTTAGCAAGTAGGAGTCAGTCACATCCTGCAGGCTGCCAAAGGCAGCCCACAAAGGGACTCTGGCAGCCAGGGAGTGTGATACACCGCGGGGCTGGGGGAGCCATGTTTCCTGAGAGAGAATTCCCTGATCCTGAAGTGCAGGCTCAGCAGGAGCCAGGAGGTCCCACCTCATGCAGACAGGAGATGGTGCTGAGCAGATCACTGGGGCACTGAGACTTCCAGAAACCAGCACCTCCCAGCTCCTGTCATTTTTTACTGTCAGGATTGCACTGCAAGTGTAAGAATGCAGCCAGACACACCACCCCTAAACAGCTGCTGACCACTGGGTGGGGAATATGGGATTTTTTCACACTCCTGACCATGATAGAAATACTTTCAAGTGTGTTACAGCCCTGAGAACAAAAGTGCTCTGCTGAGTTCCTGTCAACACAGGGGGAGATCTATTTGCATTATCTTGGGAAGTATCAGATTAGCAGGCATCCTCTAGTAAGGAGAATGAATGGAAACTGTCATTCTGGAATATGCCAAATTCTTCCCATGTTCCTTAGATGATCTGTAAAATAATCGGATCTGCAGATCATTGGCTAATGCTTCAGACTGCACAGCCCAGTAAGATTTGGCAGAAGTAAAACTCTTCCAAATGTGCCAGCAACACAAAAGAACACTATTTGTTACCCACGTGTTTTTGCAAAACCATATCCCTAAATAACAGAATGCATAAATCCAGTGCAAACAAACTCACAAGCAAACTCACTCTGCTTTTCTGGTACACAGACGTGCAAAGAGGAACAACTTGTTGTAATTATGCTCATGCTAACTAGAGAGAATTACATTAGCTCATTCATAAAGGAAGCTGCACAATACTATAATGTATTGGTCCAATGGCAGATTCCCAGATCTCTCCAATAATAGGAAGCTGAATTACTGCACTACTTTTCACAGCTGACAAACCAATTCCTGGGGAGACAGAAAATCTCTTGGGTCTCATTTTCCTCTGAACTTCAGGTAGAGGTGATCTGGCCATCAATCTTCCACTTGTTCTTAAAAGCATGTCTCAGGTAACCTGTGCCCTTTGACCACTACTCACTAGGGATGCAGCCAAAGGACTCTGCAGTATGTACCTGTGGAGCTGCTCCTATTGAAGTATTTTAGGGAATTCTGCTTGCCTCTTAGGAAATTATATTAATCTATAGCAAGCAATATGGAAAACTGTTCCCTCTTGTTTGAGGAATGAGCTGAAGTACTTTTCAGTCCTGCAAGGGATGTAGAACCTCAAACCTTCAGTTTTCATAAACCTTCACTTTGCTTTCCATGAGAAAGGAAACCCCTCTGTGAGGGAGAAGCTGTAGATGTACTCACATGAATCAGATTTCAGGACTGGGCTTGTACACAGTGCTTCAATTATGCTGGACTGTTTTACCTGCACTGATGCCAGGCAATGCCAGTTTATTTTTCCTAGCTCTGTTGCAGGTGAGCTCTGTGGAACAAACTCTTATCTTGATAGTATTTCTTAAAAATATTGAACTACATAGTTATTTTTAATAGCAAAAAACCCCTTAAGGCCAGAGTCTTTGTTAGGTGCCGCTGTGCCCAGGGGGGTTATTAATGTATTTTGTATGGCTGTGTCACACACTTCCTGTGTTAAAGGGAAATGGGTATTTAGGAAAGCTCAGTGGACATGCGTGTGTGTCTCTGTAAGCAGAAATGAGGCCTTGAAAATGATTGTGCATTTGGTCTTACCACATGCATAGCTGACATTTAGGTATTTTGTCACTCCAGGTAGGCACGGACTTCCAAAATCCTGGCTAGAGACAATGATTTTGCATCTCTGTTTCCCATAACACCTCTTTGATAACACTTCCAGCGCTGTGTAAGACAAACAGTCTGAAAGAAAAAATACATACAATAAATATACAACACCCTGGTGTTATCTGAAATGAGAGCTGCTGGATGCATGACTAGAGATGCAAATCTGCACCAGATCTCAGGTGTAACTTCGCCTTAGCAGGACTTCAGGGTTAAATATTAAGATCTGTCAATGCAAGGAAGTCAGCTGCAACAAAAATGTGAACTTGCAGTGAGGTAACTCTCCCATGTTGCCTTACAGGTGCATACAAAGGGTGCAGAAAGAGTCTCACCAAGCTCCAAACAGGTGCCCAATGTAAGGTCTCAATATTCATTCAGGAGGTGTTGGAAAAAATAAGGACATCCAAATAGCTCTCCATCTATGCCATCTCAAATCAAGAGAGATTAAATGCTGTTTCCAAGTCTATTTCTCAGCCCTGGGTTACTGAGATGAGCCGACTGGATATCTATGTTCAGTTCAAGCCAGGTGAGATCAGTTTTTATGTGTTGCAACAGCTCAGGTTACAGGGAAGTTCAGGGTATTAAAAAGTAGCTTTTGGTTTACTATGAAGAGGTCAAAATGGGCTCAATATTTAACCAGGAAAACATGTGGTTTCCAATAATGGGTTTTGCACTGGAGCTGAAATTATTTGAGTGGAAAGTGTGTGAGTCACACTGCTTTAAAAAACAGAAGGTCTCTAAATGTGATTAAGTTATCTGTATCCACATTTGCTAAACTCCAAGCCACAAAGCAAAAAAACACCCTGTAGTTTTGGTTTCTAAACAGAAAGGATGCAGAAAAGAGCAAGTTTGGAGAAAGTAATACTTCTCTGAGTCCTTCTGCATCACCTCACACACTGCAGCTTTCTGTGTATGGGATATGTTTCACTCCAAGCTTCTGAGGCAAGGGGGCTCTAAAGGTCTGAAATATCATTCTCTGGGAATTAAAACAGCCCCTCTTCCTACAATAAAGGATGGCCTCCAGATAGCTGCCAACTGCAGAAGCTCATTTGTGCCTCTGTAGAGGAAGGAGAAACACTGTTTGCAAACATACTCCAAAGGTTCCCCAAATTTGTTTGAACAGAAGAGAAGGTTTGAGACAGAGTTCCTGACATTTAATGTTTGAAAATAGGGCAGATCTGTGATTTTTAGAGTGAACTCCCTGACACCAGTACTAAAGAAGTCATATACCTGGGCAGTGTCATCAAGAGATATGGGGCTGATCTGTCTGGAAATGGGCTCGTGGGTTGCTTTGGACATTGATTTTAGGACAGAGCTCTTTGACTTTTCAGAGACCTAAAATCCCAATACCTGTGTGTCTCAAGAAAGTGCTGGGAAGGCAGGGAAAGGCTGACCTAAAGCATTGAGGAGTTCTATTAAGTAACTCAGCAGTTTTAGTGTCCCTCCCTGGTAATGCCAGATGAGTAAGGATATATTTGCATGGATATTTTGGGCTTACTTTGGCAAGTACAAAACCAACTGGAGAGTATCAGGAAGAGTTGTCAAATGATTAATAAATTAATAGATTGGGAGCACAAAAGCAAACTGGCAAACTGAATGATGTTTTTTATAGAATTTCCTGCCCTGGGAGCTACTATTGGTGCCTTAAAAAGCCAGGAGGATGCTGTGCTGATGGTTTTCTACATATTCAGTGATATGGCAAGTGTATGTTTCATTTTGCCTTTGTTCATGTTTCTGTGGGACTTAATAGCTTCTAATCATCTCTATCCATGTTAGATTTGGCTCCTTTACCTGAGGAGCCACTCATTATATGCCTGCAGGTTCTTAGCAGACCAGTTTCTGGAGAACCTTCCAGGGCTTGCCTGGTGTCACAGGTGAGTCACTGCAAACCGTGGCCTGTTTCTTCTGCAGGACAGGACAGACATTACTTTGAAAGTGTTGTAACATTAAAAAAAACCACTTATTCAAAACTTCTTGCATTCTGAAAAGGTTTTGGGTTTTAGTGATTTAATAAAAAATCCTGTCTGGTTTACATGTGGCCTTGCTATCTTCCCAGTAGTTCTCCCAGCAGCCCTGATGGGATTAACTTGAATAACTTACCCTCCTCCTGGTCAAATACCTTATTCCAGTGACTGAGGACAGGTCAGCACTGTGTTTTGAGTAAAGAGTCCCACGGATTGGCCCCAAAGAAACCATGAGCTGGGAGATGAACATTAATACACAGTGTGGCTTCTTTCTGACTAGGTGTTTTTTGATCTACAGATATCCCTGGGGCTTGTTAGACTGGCACCATGTATTTTCAATAACCTGCCTCTGGAAAGGCACATTCCCAGAGTGTTAAAAGGCTGATGGCATCCAGCGGTGATGGACAAGGCAGCAATATGTGGCTGGGAAAACACTCCATTCTCCATGCTTTTCTCCCAAAGTTCCTTCTTACACACCAAGACTGTTGGTGGATCTTTTGTACCAGACGCTGCTATGGATGGCACGGGGACACGGGTGTCAAGACGAGGTTCTTAATGCAGTAATAAACTATCCAGTCTGACTGCAGCTATTTAATGGTTGGAGCAGAAAGCCTTGTTTCTGGAGGAAAGGCTCTTTCAGCTCCCTAATTAGCTTTGTTTTGAAAAGTTTTGGCATGCAAATGACATGCCATAAATCACACAGGCTTTAATGAGAAGTAATTTGTCTTCTGGTTTCTTAAAGCTGCTCTCAGTTCAGACAGGAGGAGCTTTCCCTCCCTTTCTTTCCACCCTGCCACACGAAACCTGCAGGTGATGGAGTATCTTGTGCAAGGCTGTGGCGACAGCGTCCTGTCTCACCCTCTCCCAATGCTTCCAGCTGCTTTCATCCCCAACTGCTACTCACGCCGCTTTATGTGTTCTGGGCTGTGCCCACACACAGAAGAATAAGGAGCTCGCTTTTAAAATCAACTGAAAGCAAAGATTTCACACCTCCAAATCAGGATGGCTTGTGCTTTGTGGAGCCAGATTATCAGCTGTGGGGACATGAACTGACAAGGGAAAACTGTGGAGTTTGGAGCAAGCTAAGGCTGCAGACTCCTAAAGAAAGTTGCTGAAATAATATGGTAATTTATGCAAGAGCATGGCACACAGGGTCCTGCCTATGCATCAGAAAAGGGCCACTCGGACTGCTGATTCCAGCAGAAACACACAATGTGATCAGCAGCACTTTTGTACAAAAAAAAAAACAACCCAAACTTGGTGTCTCTCTCCTCCTTGCAGATGCATGTGCAGAGTGGGGGGTCCACCCCACCAAACACCAAGAGCAAGAGACAAGTGTGGGTCTCCATTTCCTGACAGCAGGAACCAGACTCCCTGTTCCTGCATGTGCAAAGACAGGAGTTCCTTGGCTCCTTTTAGACTTGAAGGCCAAGTGTACTTTTCCAAACCTTTCACAAATGTGAGCAATTAAAAAAATAGACCCAAGAAACCCCTCAACTGCTGGTAAAGAAAACATTGCTAGTTGAAGGGATATTTGTCTCAGCGTGCTCCAAGCAGCTTCCACCAGCAAAATCTGATCTTCCCTGTTCATCTCAGAGGAAAGTTATTTGGACTCTAGAAATGGTGGCTGGTCTCTTCCCCCCTTCAAACAATCTTCATCCTGCTGCTGCACTGAAAACCTCTTCTTTTAAGGGAGTTCTGTCTTGATAACATTCACTGGGGCAAAGGGATGCAATGGCTCCTACTGGCACCTCTTGGGACCCAAAGCATATATTTAGCTTCTCAGTTAGCTCAGGCTGACACAGACAAGGACCTTTTCATATCTGATGTCTGCACATAGACATAGCTGACTTGAGGGGTTGTGTGGTGGAAGCAAAATTGAACTATTTTATCCTTACTTTTGCATCCACAAAATTAATTTGATTCCTGTCTCCCACGCCCGAAGTGCCAAGGCAGTGTGTAAAAATCTCCAGATCTGCCTAAAGCTGCTTGTACCTTCACTGCTGTTAATTCTGCTCTCAAGAGACTTTCCTAGGGGTCAGGCTCACACCAGGCAAAGAGTACATCTTTCAGTAAGGGACAGAAACCAAAAGCTTATCAATCAGTCAGTGAATAAGAGCCCCTTTGAATTGGCTACAATATCCAAACAAACAAAAATAATCACAGTATTATAGAATCCTGTTACATTAAAAAAATCATGAGACCTAGTTGGACTGGAAGGAACCTACAGGATTCTGAAAATCCCTCTTGCTTGACTTTCTCACCCCTTCTTATCTGAATTCCCCTGGGAAGAAAGAGGAGACTAGGACAAATCCCAACCCCAGGGTATGTCTTGGCACAGTGCAAACTGTGATGAGAGTTTGTGAATTCTCCACCTCCCCTCTCAACCCTCCAAAAGTGGGACTGGGTAAAACAGTGAGCTGTACTGGAAAGAACCCACCTTCCAGCAATGAGAACCATGACAGGGGTGTAATTCAGGGCTCTGCTGGCCACTGGTGCTTGAGGGAACATACATCTGACCAGCCAATCTACATCCAGAGGAATTTCTGGGAAGGATATTGCAGTGTTCTAGCTTGCAAGTTGAACCTAGAGACGACCTGCTACCAAGCCTTTTTTCAAGTATTTTCATGTATTAACAAGAGTAATTTATTATTTGAGAGGTGTTTGTTGACCTGAATTTTCCTGGTGCTCTCTATGGTAACCTGTTCTGGCACAGTTCTTTAACTTTTTCTGACCAATAAATTTTCTGTTTCCTCATGCACATGTTAGTACAAATACAAGAGATAATGGGTCAGAAAAGGCAGTAATTCTCACAGGAACAGACAGCTATGGTTTCCTCCTTTGGTGCTGGGCACAATGGATTCCTCTAGGCAGAACCATCTGCTACAGAACCACACCCAGAATTTTCTTGTGAAGTTGTTGACAGTCTTAGTAAAACAGGAAAGTTGCTTGCTGGAAAGTCTGTACAGGCTTAACGGTGCCAGGCATTTGGACAGCTGCAGAAGCTGGCTTTTACCATCAAAGTGGCTCAGAAAACCAGTTGCTTGAGTAGATACTCATGCTCAATGTGGAGGGTGAGGCTCATGATCCTACAAGTGCTCAAGGCCACACAGATACCTCCCACAGCAGAGAAGGATTTATGTAGTTTATTTCCTATATGGAGAAGAGCCTTTATGCCAAAGAAATGTTATGTTTTCCTGGGATCCCTTTGAAGTAAACTCTGAAAATCTGTCAGCTGATTTGACAGGTAGTTCACAGAAAGGTGATGTTGAGAACCCATCTGTCCCAGCCCAAAGCTGCTGTCTGTCACTGCTATCCCACATACCAGCAGGGAGCCAAGATCTCGAGGAGCATCCAATTCAATACCCAGTACACCTGCCAGGACCCAATCATGTATTGAGATGTGCAGAACTTCTGAGCTCACCAGAGACTTTCTGGGCCTGTCATTAGGACCTATGGGTAACTTCTCTTCTGCATAGTGCTAAAAAAATTGCCTCATGGTTTCTCTGGAAAAGAACTGGAGTGGCTTGAGCGCTGCCCTTAGGCTGAGTTGCACCAGTGTGAGCAGAAACAAAAATGCATGTGTGTTGTAGCCAATTTAGCTTTTGGTGCAAACATAAATGGGTACATGGGTTCTGATTCAGGAGGGAAGAGCTGTCTCAAGTCATTACATTCAAATTACCACTGTTTTCTCTGAAAGATACGCAATCATTGCAGAAATCTAATCATGCACCCACTTACATCTGTAGGTGCTTAAATAACCACATAAATAAGATTCAGGCTCAAGACAGATAGATCTGGAGCCAGTTTGGTCTGGCGCCTAAGTACCAAATCTTCTATGATAACTGAATGTGAACTCCCACGCCCCCCAGGGGCTCTTGGAAATTCCAGCGCCTGCAGAAAGTCACTGACACCATGCAGGAAGAGGCCAAGCACTTCCATTAAGTAGTAGGAAATCTATACAAGGATCTACCTTCTGCAGATCTACCTTGTGTTTGTCTCAGGTTTTATGCTCTCTCCTATTACTACTGTCTTAGGCTGCTTTAAATAACACAAAACCAGTGCTAGCCAGGGTCTTGCTTCTCAGGTGCTTCTTTCTACACAAGGGTCACAGCAGAGCTTGTTGCTGTTGCAGATTCTTTCTCTTTATCCTGGGAAACTTTATCCATTAGGAAAGGTTGGCAGAATTCTGATCTGTGAACTGTGAGTGCTGACATTAGAGGCAAGGGAGTGATTTTGAGAGGTCAGTGAAGTGCAAGACATGAGTGTGCTGGCAGCTTCTCTTGATCAGCCGAGACATCTCTGCCCTGCCTTGTGTCACCTGTTTATGCCACTGTCAGATGGGGTATGGGGCCTGTCGGAGACGTGATAAAATGTTTTCTCCACAGAACAGACAGGCACAGCTAAGTCTGTGTGAAGGCCCAAGAGAGTCGCTGTGAAACACAGACCTGGCAATCTTAGATTGTTCGCTAAGAACAGATTGCAATTTTCAGCCAATAAATTTTTAATAGTATCGATGTAACTAAATAGAAACACTGGCTTGCAGACAAAGGGCTCTTAAGATTAATTACTGATCTCTTCTTGATGTTCAGAGATGCTTCTCATAGGTGACGTGTAAAGCATGTTTCTTAGGAGCAATGGTAAGCCTTTGCACAGGGCTGGCATCAGTCATGCAAGCCCTTCCCTGTGTGGTACCAAGGGGTTTGAACAGCACACTCAGCTCATGCTGGCCTTCTCATGGCATGAAAAGTTACCTTCATGCCCTTGGTGTCACCGCTGAACCTATTATTCAGTTTAGCACTAGGTACATAGGACATTCCTGACTTGGTGCCAGAGAGAAGTCCCAGGCATATTTAACTTCCTAATGTGCCACCACAGCTTGGGGCCTGGTCGTACAACAGCATCTAAAGCAATGGCCCTGCCCCATGGACCCTCTCTGTACAGTCTGCAGCTAAGGCAGGGAATATCTGGCAGAAACAGGTATCAGAGAAGAAGAAGAAGCAGTAAGACACAGTGTCGTGACTCTTGGGTCACCTGGTCATTGTCAGAAGCTGGAGGAAGAAGAGAGACAAACAGCTGATATTTATTGTATGTCACCTAAATTCAAGGCAAGGGAACTAGTTTTTGATGCTAATCATACTAAGAGCTCATTAACTATATGGAAGTTCATTACTTTGCTGCATTTCTTACTCTATGTTTGTCCCTCATATTGGGCAATTTGTTTGAGTTTCAGAAATAATCTCTCTCACTTTGTCATCATGGATGCTTTCAAAACACCATTGCTCTTGCACCTGACGTTTCTCCCCACCTGTGTTCTGTCTTCCCTGTGCTCCTGCCTGGAGAAGGTCCCTCAGTGGTGCCCAAACATACCAAAGGGGGGTGTGTGCTCCGCCTTTGTTGAGCAGACGCTCTCCTCGTGTGCCCATCTGCCATAGGTGGCCGAGTAGATGATAAGGAACTTGGATTCCTGACAGTGGAGCTTCAGTTCCTGGTTTTCACATGCTGATTTGGTTTTGTATTCAGCTAAAGTAGAAGCAAACAGCAATATGAGAGCGTGAGGCAATTTAAATTGCTGGACTGTTAATAGCAAATAGTAGCAGGACAGAAACCAGCTTTCCTGCAAATGCTGTTGCAAGTGACACGTGGCACCTGTACAGCTAGACACAAAGTCAAGAGCAGAGTGCTTCTTCCAAATGAATTGTGCCCAAGTGACTATCTAGAGCCTGTGGCTCCATCTTGAACAGAATAGAAATCCCTAATTTTGCCAATCTCTTTTCCTAGTGAAACAGGCCTCCCTGCTTTCCTGGCTTTTGTTCCACTCCTGCTCAGCAAGAGAAGCTTCATCCTTCCTTTTTGTCTCTCCTGGGGACACTTGCATTCTACACGTGCCTCAAGCTGCCTCTGCACCTTCACCAGTCACAGGCAGGGCTGGCACAGCTCAGTGACAGTGCTGGGCGAGGCACAGACAATGAGAGGACAAAAGGCCAGGACAGGGTCCCCATCCCCAGCCAGTCAGTGATCTCAGCTCTCAGCTGTCTTTGCACTGTTCCTCCAAAATCACTGGGTGTCCGTGGGTGGCACTATCCAGCAAGGGCTCATTTGAAAGTCTGGCTGGCAAAGTGATGTGAATTAGAATCCTGAAAAAAATCCCCTCCTCCCTTGCTCAGCTGGCACAGGCACCCTGGCAGCACCCTCAGCAGAGGTGGGGAAGGCACTGAGCTCCTCTTCATGGTTTATCCCTTCTAGGGTGTCCCTTTAAATCTGCCACTGGCCAACAAAGCTCTTCCTGGCCAAAGCAGCCACTCTGTTGGTGGCACTCTACCTTCTTAAGTCTTTCTGGTTAAGCTGTGGTGCCAAACCTTTTTACAGCAGATTAGGTCAGGGAGAAGAGTTTATTCTCTTCCAATTTTTTTGTCTTCAAAAATGTGAAAACAGGAAAAGGAGATTCCTGAGCTGAGCAGAAGAAAAGGGAAACCTTATTGTTAGCAAGTGGTGTCCCTGTGAGTGGAGGGTGGATGCTGGTTCTTCGGGAACTGGAGAGAAAAACCTCCTATCTACTCATGAATTAAAGCAGTATTGTTTCTTCCAGAAGAGAACAGATAAAACAATGGGTTAATGTTCTTGCTAACAGTCCAGTTTTTACCACTCAAGCTCATCAACAGCCATGAGCTTAAGTATAAAAATGAGTGATTTTGAAAACATTTTTTGAAAATATTTTTTGAAACATTTTGAGAAATACTTGACCTATTGTAGGTTGTGACTTCTGCAGAAGTACCTGCCATGCTGTACCTGCCTGCACACATAAACAGGCCAAAAACCTGGGGTTTGTGCCCAAGGACTGACAGCCTGCAGCTGGACTCTGAGTTTGACTAGCTAAGCTGGAGAGGCTGTGGAAGTATGTGTAACCCCAAGTGGTATCAGGCAAGGAGAAGAGCCCAACATAAACCTCTGCAAGGATATGGCAACAATAATTCTAAATAGGGATTTAGGCAACTGCTTAAGTGCTCACTTGAAGGCAAGGACACTGCAAAATATACCTGAAGTTATCCTGAAGGGATTTCCTGAGTAAGGATGTTTTCCACTGCCAAGACTAACAATATTGGTATCTTACCTACAAATATAAATTTCCTGTCACTAAAAATCCTGTCATTTGCCCTGGAATTGGACTGTCCCTCAATTCTGAAGGCAGTAGCTGCTGTTGAATACACTTTTCACCAGCTTTTTAAAAATTCAGATCACAGAAAATACTATATACTCTAAGAAGCTCATCTCCCATGGGAAAAAATATTAAGCATCTTCTGAAAGTAATAAACAGGATCCGAATTCACTTTTGTTTAGCAAAAAGAGATTTCTAACGACACAGACACTGCTATGATATTCAAATCCATCTACTATTAATAATGGACTATTAATCTACTATTGATAATTGCAATATACAAAAGTAATTAAACTATTGATATAATAAAACAGATAATGAAAATTTTAAATTTCAGGCATTTTTCCCCCTAATGATTGGCCCACTGTTTCTCCCCAGGAGTTCTTGAGTCCGTGCTTTGCCAAAGGTAACATCTGCCTACTCCACTCCATTTCTCTCCTCTGACTTCCACTTTCCATTGTGAGCTGGCCCTTCAGTTTGCTTGCCACCTACTCCTGTTCTACCACTGATATCTATCTTAGTGCTCTGATCAAAGAAAACCCCTTTAGTGCTTTCTCTAAGGTTGATATTTCTGTGTTGGCTGGTGAACCTCCCCATAAATCATCATTCAGGTGTTTTCTTTGGGACCCATTTCAGCCACACTGGGAATTCACTGCCAAAAGAGCTGAGCCCCCAGGCTACTGGAGCTTGTTCTCACATACCATAGCAACAATGAGAACGATTAAAAACCACCAATAAAGGAAATCTCAGGAGGATTATCTTAATCATTCTTCCCCTTTCTCATGTTTACAAAGTGGATTCTCTTTAAGGCAGGATTTGTCCCTTCAGATATCAGCATCAAATACCTGCACATAGCACAGGTGATTCTACAATAAAAGCCAAGTCACCACATGTGTCTTCTGGCCATAATTCCATAAACAGAAGGAATTTTTGAATCTTTGAAAGCATTGGGCCCAGCTCCTTAAGTATTTTTTTGCATATTCTTTCCTAGGGATACCTTCTTCATTTGAATCCTTAGCCCAAGCATCTGGTTTTGCTGTTCAGCTCTTTCTAATACGACATTATCTAATAAGAAATTATAATTTCCATAACATTTTTCCTTTCTAGTCGGATGTCTGACATCTGCCCCTGCCAAACTACACTGGTCATTAAACTGGCAGCAAGCACCCTGAAGCTGCAAACACAATGGAGAGCTAAGGTAAAGTGGAAAAGAACAATTTGTTATCAATCCAAGAGCCCCAAAACCTCACGTGGATTTATGCAAAGCCTTGTGCAGTGGCATTTTAACCAAAACAAGCAAGAAAACACACAGAAAAACACATTTGCCTGATAAAGATTACTTACTAGGTTTGCATTTAAAGGAGACAAGGAGGAATTTAGTGGTCCCTGGACACAGATCAGGCCCAAAAACCCGACTATTGACAAGGAGTTGGCAGGATCTCAGGTTTTGGCATTCATCCAGTACTTTCTAGAACAATGGGCAAAAAGGATAGTCTTGACAACAAGGTATGAAGCTATACAGCAATGAAAACACTTAGTTGTACTTTGTTCTACACAGGAGAGAAATCACAAATTTTGGCTATAAACATGCAAGAAACATCTGTATCATTGGATCTAGGCCATAGCTCTACTGGACTTGGAGTCATGGCCAGCTTTATGGGAACACATTCATCACAAGCGCACTCACAGCAAATTAGGATGTTACCAACTTGTTGTTTGTCACTTTTCCCTCTGTCCCTGGGGAGGCTGGCCAAGTTGCCCTGAGTGCCACCACAGCCTGGATGGTGCAGAGCAGAGAGCACATGGAAACACATGAAGCCCAAAGCTGTCTCACTGAGATACTTGAGGCACTTGTACACTCCTGAGCACATTTATGGGAGTGCAATGTCCAGGGAAGGCATGGCAACAAAAAAGGTGTCTTCTTAACTACTTCTTGATCTGCTTACATGTACCTGAACATGCTCTGTAAATAATCTTCTCTTGAAAGAGTTCTGACTAATGATAACTACAACTCAAGCTTTAAGCCACGTGTAGGACCTCTTGCTTAAGGGTCACTTCCTTCTCGCTTGCAGTTACACACATTATCAGGTATTTACTTGATTTGCCAGAGCAAATTTCAGAATTGGTTTGATTGGATAGCACACTTGTGCAAGTCTATCCTCTGCCTCCTTGTCTTGTTTTGTAGGGTGGTTTTTATGCTGTTCTAAAGACATATCTACTCCAAATTTATTGGTCCAGTGATATATCCTGGTTCTTCCAGTGCAGCTTCCCTGGGAGTGGCAGCAGAGGAAGACCACAAACAGGTCAGCAGTGTTATACACAAAGTGTTATGTGGACTCTCTCCCAGTCTGGCAAAAGGACTGAATGCTTGTACTGCTCACACTGGTGCTCACACTCCAGCTGTGCTCTTGGAACTGTCCCTGCAGAAAATATGAAGACATTGCCAGGGCCAGCCTGTCCAGTTTTTAACACAGTCAAGAGCCAAACACCTAAAAACACCAGTTTAAATGCAGCAGTGGATTTAGGAAATTCTTATTCACCTCCAAAACTCAGTTAAGAGAGGTCTTTTCTGACACTGTTTTTGGATAGTTTGTGTGGTTGTACACAGGATTAATGATGTTTAAAATTACAGCAGGCTGTGACAAAGGAGGGTGTTATCTCCAGGTCACCCCACTCTTAACAGGAGTAACTGTAATAAACCATTCTGACAGTTGTAGGTAGTCGCTCAAAACCTATGGGAACTTTTGCTTTTTTTTTCTCATCAGAAGAGGTCTCAGTCATACCAAGAGACCAAATAACGAATTTACCACTGTGGTGGCACAAGCTGCATTCCTTTTTCCAGGCTGAGAGAGTTGGCAGTATCTGGATGTCTGTTGTCATCACTGGAAATCTTCCCTCCCAAGCAGCAATGACACACATTGGCAGCACATTGCAGTGATCCTACAGCTCTCATTGGCAGAGGAAGAGGACATGCATCCAACACCTTTTCAGCATTAAATGCATTCTAAAGAGTTTAAAAGTGAAGCTAAGCACTGACTTAATTTTATCAGTCAATTTTCCTTTCACAGAGTTGCAAGTCAAAAAAATAACTCCTCCTTAATTGGGATAGTTCTGGAAGGGACCAGTGAAATAGAGTTATATTTAGTAAATAAAGATAGCTGTCCCCTGCTGAGTCACCTTCTGTTTGCACCTGAGCTGAATC